ACGAAACAGTCATCAAACCAGGAGAGGGACAGACCAGTGAACATCCACGCCTTACGTGCGGTTAGCCAATGGACATTTAGCTTGGTCATGTCCATGTTTTTGTAGGCTTGCGGGCTGTGTGGATCACAGACAACTTGAGCTTACAGGTGCCGGAGGCATTGGTGGTGAACTTCCGGCCCCTACACTTGCTGGCAGACTTGACTGAAGGTCTTGGATGGTAATTTCTTCCAAAAGAGCCTGGATTCATCCAGGTTGAACACCTGGTCGTCGGTGTACGGTCCTTCCTCCATAATTTCTCATAAGAATGGTGGAAAATTCATGGTGGCAGCACGGTCAGCACTAGCTCCTTCACCAACAATTTCAATGTTAGTTATTTTATTGCGTCTTTTAAACCCTTGCAGCCACCCAGCAGAAGCAGTGAAGTGTTTGGGCTCTGCAATTTCCATTTTCCACGCCACTGCTACGTACTGTTCTCGGGCGTAGTCCTGCACCGCGCGAGTGTCCACCACCACGTTCCTTCTTGCCTGATGAATCAAGTAGCTCACCAATAAACCTTCAGTCTTGAGCAGCACTTTATTCTGACAATATTTTACCATTGACGCACCTGCAGACTTTGTGATGCTCATGTGTTCTTTTATCTTGGCAGCATCCTTCTTGATAGTCCGGATCGTAGATTCGTTCACGCCATACTGGCGAGCCAAATCAACTTGTCTCGTTCCTTTCTCCAATTCTTGCACGATTTTGTATTTCACTTCATAGCTTAAAGCACGTCGTATCTTCTTTGCCTTTGGGCAACTGGGTCCAGGTAGTTCAAGGTTTCTTGGGGGTGGTGGGGGTCCAGCAGACGCCATTGTTGAACAGATTAGCGGGCACAAGAGAGAACAGTATACGTGGAGACTGAGAACAATGAGACTGGCGCAGTTTAGGTCAGCAACTTATTCCTTCTGGTGGCAGGCCACGTCATGTTACATTAGAATGATTAGACCAATCACAGCTAGCGGCAGAGGGAGGTTAGGATGTGTAGCCCAAACACAGTCCGATACGTCATATGACGTCAGCGATAACGTAAAAGCGACATACTGCGCACCCTCCCTGCGTATGATCGTGCGTCTGGTCATGTACCGCGTAAATGACCAAACGCGTAAAGGAAATCCGCGTAAATCCAGACTATACTGTAGTGTCAGAACCTGTCCAAGCGTGAAATGCAGGCAGTGTGCTCAACACACTATTATCAAGTTGAGCTGTAATGGTGTGGATTGGAATATATTTTCTGTTCTTGGATGTCCCGGACTTCATCCATACTTTCAAGCATGGTATCTTGCTGAAATGTGCTAGGAGGACCAAGACGTCAGTGTCCCGAGCAGCAACGATAATGCTTGATATTCAGCTCCTCACGCAGTGTAAAATTATTCGAGTGTCGGTCTCTTATGTGACAATGCCAGGATTTGAGGATTCCACCTGCTCTTGATTGCTAAACCCACCATATTCTTGTTACTTGGTGTTTTCAGAATCAGCTGTCGGGACTAGAATGCTGCCAGATTAGCCTTATTCTCTGCAAGGGCAATAAAACTCCCATTTTGGTGGAAGGGGCACATCACTGTTCTGCACCTCTCTTCTCACTGGTACTGCTCCTTTCCCCCATCTTTTTCTGGTTCCACTTTTAATTGAAGTTTCATAATACCAATCAAAGATGATGTCTGTCTGGCTGAATGAAGCTCCACTCTTCAAGACAGATGCAGCGAATACATTTGCCAAATCCCCAGATGTTCTGGCATTCTGTCGTTTCCCAATAGCTACCAAGAGAGCCTGACCATCAATGATGAGTGTTGCTTCTTCACCATGGTCTGTTGCTTGTAGGCTTGGCAGGCAAGGTGTTTTGCCAATCAGTACCTCTGACAGAAGCGCCTTTGAGCCTAACCGGAGATCATCATTCATTTCTGCAATGGCTAGGGCAGTGGTTCTTAACCTTTTTAGGTTTGTGCCCCCTATAACAGTTGGTCCTCATCTCCACGCCCCCTTTCTTCCTTCATATAAAATTCTAAATCTAAAAATGTAAAACAATTTCCTCTTGAATTAAATAGAAAAATTGATAAAGTTGTAACGGGCGGACAACTGGCACTTGAAGCCGTAGCAGTCAGTGTTAACAAATTTTCAAATGTGAATTATCGTACTGGAGCCTCAATATTATCGTTTCTTCATCAAATATTGTTGACTAATTACGCCTACTCATTTCTGCCTTATTTGGAGTAATAAGACAATGCGGAATGAAGTGTAGGTAAGTCGAAGGGAATGATTGAAACCCGCCTTTTGACGCATTCAATATTTATTGATGTGTTCAAAACCTGCAGAGGAGAAAGCATTCATAATATTACATGGTGATCCATCTGATACATAATTAGTTAGTCTCACATAATTTTATCTTAATTACAATTTATTAAACAGTGACATAACGAATAGGCGTAATCAGTCAACAATATTTCAGTACTGAGGGGTATGTCATCACTTAGGCTGTACTTACAGGTTTGGGTCACTGCAGATCAGTATGGTGTCCCAAGAGGCAACAGTACTGCGTAAATTGTTCCAGCACAAATTCTCGGACAGGATTGTGAGTCAGTGTTCACCAGTGCGAGCAGAGGGCTGGTTTTCATAGCATCACTAGAGAGGGTGATCTGCCTGATGGCGGGGCGGGCAGCACCACCACCTGCCGATGACAGTCCACTCAGCAGAATCAGGACTTGTCTATAAACACTTCTACATCTGGCGAGGTCACAGGTCGAAAGATTTAATGACAGCACACGCCAGCACTGTAGCTGAAGCCAGCGGCAATAACAGTGTGATATGCCTCGGTGTGAAAAGAGGCCTTGCTCTGGCTGTTGAATTCCCACTCTAAACATCACACTTACTTTTCCCTGCACTCTGCTTCGTAGTTTGAACGGAACTCTCGTTGGCCCCATGCTGATGAGCAATACCGATTGCACTTATCCAACGTTCAAGTTCGTCAATAATTTCAACTTTACCTCCAAAGTAGGCCTCTTGTGTGACTTCTTGGCCGGAGTTTCAATGGATGGAGATGAAGAAGGTCACTTTGGAGCCATCGTGGGGTTTCATCAGGGGTTAAGGTACACTAAAGAATGTGATGAATGGAGACTGAAAGACCTACCTGATTATGCTGCAGGGCCTCCCACGTGATGAGTATGGGGGTTGTAACACAAAATGTACCCCTCAGAGAGCAACTGCACTGTGATGGAGATGCCAGCTACAAACTGCATATTTGTTACAAAATGGGCATCCTTGTTGTGATTTATGGAGGCAATTTAGGTCACCTCGCTATTGCAAAATTCTTATTAAAATACAGTAAAATCTCATATTTCGCGAGCACCACCTATCGTAACCAAGTCTTATGTTTGGCGTAAAATATCACGAGTTTCGTTAGATCCAGTCAGCTGAATGCTGGCCACCGTCTTGAATGACATCACAGCCCTCATACCAGTTACAGTCACTTAATAATAATAATAATAATAATAATAATAATAATAATAATAATAATAATAAACGGTTTATTGAAAAAGTTTGCAGCCCGAAGGCTGAAAATATACATCGGACATAAATGACTTATTACATACATTGGTGGTTTAACAAAAGCCTTCATTAGAGAAAGGTGAAGGAACATACAGTGAACATACAGATTAATGTTTACACACGTAGATCATGTGAGCTGAGGTGTCTAACAGCAGACACATAGTGTAGTAACTCCCTCACAGATGGCGTTATGAGGGGCATCACGTGGAGTACTAGTTCCCTCACAGGTGGTGTTATGAGGGGCTTGACGTGGTGTAGTAATTCCCTCACAGATGGTGTTACAAATGTTTTGTCAATGCAAATTGGTTGTAACACGATTGATGAATAGGGGAACGGTCTGTAAAACACAAACTTTTGCATACAAATGATGGCCACAGCACGATTCCAGCCTCAACGTTTTAAGCATGGCGCGGGGTTATGCAATGTTCACATGTTCAATTGATTTGTGTCTTGTTTGTGAAGTGTTTTTTGAGAGGTACTTTGTAAACTTTGTTTTTTTTTTGTTTTTTTGCAAATTTTGCTGTTACCCATAAATACTGAATGAAAAGAATAAGTAAGAAGAATGTTTCGCAGTGAGGACTAATAACGGTTTACACCAGAGCTCTCTGTTTACTTCACGTGATCAGTTGAATCGCGCGGTTCTGTTGATTATTCTGTGATTTTTGCTGTTTTCTCCAATTTTGTGTTAGCGATGAATATGGAAAGACAAGTAAAGAAGAATGTTTTCAAGAAGCGTTCTGGTGATCAAATTGCCGGTGGTGAACGTAAATGAGGGTTACAAGAATGCAACTATCGTGTTGTAGCCCGCGCCATCCTAGCGATCACCTGGGCTGCTATTGTGCTTTTATGGGTGGTGCTACCACCTGTCGAGTCAAGATAATGACCTCTACCTCTACTGGGGGGTCCTACTGGTGCTGGTAGGGGTGGAACAGACCCACCTAAACAACCAAATAAGGAAAAGGAGAAGCGGGACTATCATCAGGGAGTTAAGTTTGCCAAGTACTTGATGCAGGATAAGCAGTGTGTGATTAAGTTACTTAAGGAAGGCCTAAAAACTAGTTTCAGGAAAGCACAATCAGGTCAATAAAGGCAGAATTTATATCATTTGGAGGTTATAAATGGGAAAATTAGAGGTTGTAGAGTGGCCAGTCCATATTGTTATTTTCCCATTAGTTTATGTATTTGCATTTGGCGAATTTGAATTTGGCGCAATTTTTCCAGTCTACATTACTAGCAAAATACAAGATTTTACTGTATGCATAATTGCACGACTCTCCTGTATAAACTGAAAATTTGAAAAGGTAAGTTGCACAGCAACAGTTACTCAGACTCAAATGTCCCATGCACCTTAGGAGTGGATACTTGTGCAAAAGTGTTAAGTTGTGGCTTTACATAAGTGAAGGGCAAATAAAAAAAACTTGCAGATGCTGAATATTTATATTTGGAAGCTTGAGAACATGTCACTGTTTATATGTTCTGTTTCTTGACTGACATCCTAAGCGCAGCACAGTATGAGCATTGGTGCCTGACCAGAGGCCCAAGACTGGTACCATTCATAAAGAGCAGAGTACTCATCGTGTTTCTGACTCGACTTGCAGCAACATTCTTCATCGACTCATACAAGTACAAAATGTATTCAGTAAAATAGTGGGGCAATGATGGCTAGATAATAGCCCCAATGAGACCATTTATAATTTTAAAATAATTTCTGCCCGCAAACTCCACTCTTTCATGAACTTGACCAGCTTATGGCAGCCTCTGTGTGCTTGGCTTTGTTTGTACATGTGATTCATAAAAAACTGGATTATAGTATACATGACACCTACAAAAAGTGCTAGATGGGACATATATCTTGTGACTCATATAATAATAATTAGATATAAGAACATCTTCTACCATAGAAACTTTCCCTCTCAGACTGAAGTACAAAAGCATGGATAAAACTCATAGGAAATAGGTTCATGTATTATGCCTGAAGCTCATCATCAAGTAACATCCTTTTTTTTCAAAATTAAAATAACAAGAACTACAATAGTAACATGGTCTTGTATCAAACAAGCATAAATATCTACGAGTAAGTTTCAAATATATACTACTGAATAATGGCAGTATATAACTTCGTCTTTATACACAGTCTTGGTGACCATACATCGTTCTATTTACATGAGGTTTCCGACTGCAGTTTTCTGTACATGACTTTCGTGAGAGGTCGGGTGAGGTCGGCTGGAATACCAGACAGGTGACTAGGATGCCTTTGTCGGGTTCTGTCAAGCCGGGCGTGTCAGGGAATTTGGCAGCTTCTGTATATACAATTCACTTCTCCCTTTACAGACACAATTTTGAGCTTGACATAGCACTGACATAAGACTTTCTTCACAGTTTCCATGGGTTGCTAAGGAAGTTGCTACTAATGACACTATGTAGACTTTCAAGCATGAGGCACATCACAACTGAGAAGCGTCTGTGCTACGTTTCAAACACTCAATCTTTTGGAAGAAATCTGAGTACCCCGTTTTCTAAATGTCCAACGTGAATCAATACCAAAATTTCATTGGATATCACTCATGAGGCAATGGTGTAACCAATATGCTAATGAAAATAATAATATGATTTACAGTATTAATAATGCTAAATCTGAGAAAAAGAATACATAGACAGTTACAATAATAATGATAACCACTCTTTTATCACAGACAAAAAACAGGTACGGCAACATATTGGCTACACCTCTCACATTATATGTGTAAAAAATATGTATATAATTTAGAAATACCATAAAGGAATATTCTTAAGAAATATTCTTTGATGAAAGCTGTAGTTACAAATAAAAATTTAAAACCTTTACTTATTGGCTAAATAAGCAGGCACTGAATCCTTTCACAAGTTCAACATAATGAAAATAATCAAGAATTCATTAGTGTTCCACAATGGCAGTATTATTGCACATAATTTAGCATACAACTGGTTAAAGTGACAAGACTGGTCGACAATGACAAGGTGATTGCCAACTAAGTCTTGCAAAGTATGCAATATCTGGTAATTAATTTCTTTTTCAAAAAGTTCAATTTCTGCCCATCCATAGCACTTACAAGATCATACCTAAGGGAGGACAAACCTGGCTTGTGATTTCATCAGGTTATCTGCCTATGGCTTACAAGAGTTTTGATTTTTTTTATGTCAGTCAAAATATATATTAATAAAATCCATTATACTTTATTATAAAAATACTAATATCTTGAGTTTTATCTGTTGTACCAGTAAATCAATCTGATTTTCTTTATTATGAAATTTTTTTCACAATCATTTTCATGAACCAGACTGATGGCAGGCAAAGTCTGGTCTTGCAAAATCTTCATTACCATGCCATGTAATATTAGGTTTTACTATAAATTAAGATTTCTCTACTACAGATAAAGGAGAAAACAATTACTGTACTTCCTCATTTTCATCACTCTATTACACTTTCTGTATTCAGTACTACTGTATTCAAGAATACATCGAGTATAAACTATTGCTTTCATTGTATATGATGATAAGACTCAAAATTAATAATATGCACAGCTGTAGCCATAAGGTTGATTATCATTGAAGAGAAATATACCCCATAACTCGAAGGATATATTCCATCAAAAAATAAAAATATACAAGATAGCAATGTCTTCACAATTAAAACAAGGTTAACTAGTTCGCTGACTTATACAACCAACATCTCATCTTTGTGTACATACTGCAATCTCTGATATTATATAATAACACCAGAGAAAACGAATAAGAAATAATCACAGGTTCTACATCATTTGTGCAATACATCAAGAATCTCAACCAATTATCACTCTAAACAACTATTACAATCTGAGTTGTTTCAACTTCACAATCATGCTAGCATCATATTTGGTGAGCAAACATTACCATTGCATCTTGAAATATTCATGACACCAATGTAAAACACAGTACTTGGGAACTTTTTGTCATTAAAGTTATGACCAAGTTGTTGCACTTGAATTCCCTGTGTAAAGTCTGCATTATTGGTAATCCCTCCTTTGATTATTCTAATAGTTACAATAGTTTAAGAAAAACAATTCACAGATACACACATCACAAACCTCTTTTCATACACTCAGTTCCCTGAGGAAGCAGATCCAGCAATATATTGCCTTCAGCAGAATACTGAACCATCTCTCCACATAATGGTTTAGTTCAATATACAAAGAAAATAGTATAACAGCTGGAGTCAGTACAGCTAGTGTCCATAAAACTGATGCAGTTTGACAACTGGAGGTGAATAATAATGTCCTAAACAACTCTAATTATTAATAACTAAGTGAAGGTGAATTTTATGGCATCATAATGGGTAAATGAGGTACAAGAATTTATGATTAAAACATAAAAACTGAGGCATGAGAACAGGGAAAAATACCATTCAAATTGTTTACCTTGATAAACTAAGTATGTGGTCAAATGTATGGCATTTTAAAATTAAAAAATTCCAAGTTAAATTTGTAAGTGCATCTACGTTGGCGGCTGGAACTCAGTAGTGCCGGTAATGGCAGAGATGGTGTCGTAGAAAGCTGTGATGAAGCCCAGGAGAAGAATACACAGTGGCATAATGCTCAGCGCCACAGCCTGTTTAAGAGGGTGAAAAAATATGACATGAGCATATTAACTACCTGATATGTACACAAACCCCTATAAGACCTGCATTCCACTTTACACTCATGGTAGGAAAAGGACACTGATGGTCTAGCCCTACAAAATCTTCCACATGTATTTTGATATTCATCATTCTTCCATGCACCAACCTCACTGCTGATAAATATCATGCACCTGATAATTCTTCTCCCTTAAAATACTGATACACTAGCTTTTACTTAAGACAAAAATCATTTTTACTAAAACACAATAAATATATTCTGATACATTCCCAGGGGTATATTAATTTCATTTATAAGCTTTCCTTTTGTAGAGTACACATCTATAAACAGCATGCTATAATTCAATATTCCCTAAGCTTATTTTGACTTTGAGATACTGTACACAAAACAAAATTAAGGAGATGCTGATAGCCCTCAATTCCCTATTTGAAAAAAAGAATTAATTTCTATACGTAAATAACAAATGTCTGATAATACTGTATATAGAATGACAAACCATGTACCACTTACACATCTATTACAAATAAAGCATAACATTATATTTAATTAGACAACAGAAGCACTACAATGGAAGAAGTGGTGGGTGCCCTTTATACCGTATTGTCACATTCGTAGCCCAAAACACTACTGTACTTGCTGTATCACAACTAAATTATTTGAGTTTGTAGTTTTTCATACATCTATATGCACAGAGAGGACAAGACACCACTTTTATGTAAAAAAATCAGTAAGTCAAAAGCACACAGCCATTTTGTTGGTTGGGAAACCAAGTTACTGTATGTTTTTGTCACCCTATGGAAATCACAGTACAGCACTGTATACATGTTCTGAATTTGAATTATCCTTCCAAATATTGCAAATCGGCATTTTCCATTCTTCTACCGTTACCCTCCTTAATATTTTATTAAATCTTCTACTTTCACCATTCTACTTTCTTATCTGAACATACTTGTTGGGGTGACTCTCATCCTTTCCACAGCCTTCCTATTTCTCAACACAACTGTGGCAACAACTTTACCAATGAGCTCATCCAAGCAGCACAAAGAACTATTCTTCAATTATTCTAAGTGTTGCTGTAAATTCTTTATTATTTCAAGGTGTACACATGGACAGTAACTGAAGTTGATGAATGATAGGATGAAGTATGTGTATGAAGTATTTTTTACTTAATAGTTCAGCCTTTTACTGTCACTTTCCATGCACACTTCCCCCCTCCCCTACCATTTATGAAATATATATATATATATATATATATATATATATATATATATATATATATATATATATATATATATATATATATATATATATATATATATATATATATATATATATATATATATATATATATATATATATATATATATATATGGGTGATTCAATCAGCTGATGGGTGTACAAAAACTGTTCCCTGTACTGTCTATATTATCAATATGTTAACTAAATTTCAGAATGACCAAAAATTTTTATGGAAAAATAAAAAAAATATTCGAGACCAACAAAATCTAAGTTCACTCCACTGTAAACAAAGTTAAACTGAGGAGGGTTGTTAGGTGATTCAATCAGCTGATGGGCGCACAAAAACTGTTCCCTGTACTGTCTATATTATCAATATGTTAACGAAATTTCAGAATGACCAATAAATTTAATATAAAAAAATGCAGAAATAATCAAGAGACCAACTTTCTTGATATTTACTTCACTGGGAACGATTGTAAACAGAACCAATTACTGTATTGGCGGACTAGCCAATCAGCTGATGCGCACAACAAAACGTGTTTGTCGTAAGGATTTCGTTAATGAAAGTTTTGTTCGTTAATCGAACTGAAAAGACTTATGAGAGCTAATTCGTTAACCGTGGGACTACTGTATACATATACACACACGAGAGATTTACAAGCAACGAGATGACTCTCAAAGCCGGAAAAAAATCCCTCATCCCCGGAATTTTCCAGGTAACAGAAAAATGTTCTCGGAAGTTCCAGAAATTGCCCATTACATCATCTCTCTAACCTGGAAAAATATCCCCCATCCCCGGAATTTTACGGGTAATGGAAAAAATTTCTCTAAATTTCAAGAAAATGCGTCTGATTTTCATCTCTGAAACACAGAAAAACTTCCCAACCCCGTAATTTTCCGGGTAAAGGGGTTCCCCTACTTACGAACTGGTTAGGTTCCTGAGGTCTGTTCTTGAGTCCATTTGTTCGTAAGTCCAACATTACTCTTGTCAATACTGTACAGTATACAGCATTGTAAAAAAGGTTGTACAGAAAGCTACCGTATACAACAATAATACTCGACAGAATTTCTTTCCAGCCTTAAACAGTATTTTAATGTATGAATAGCATGTACAGTATAGTACGTAATAGTAAATAAACACTCTCACCATGTTAAGCCTTTACGTTTTCAAAGAGACTCATGGCCTTCCGCTGAATTAAGTTAAGGCTTATAGGCATGCGGTGCTGATGTTGGTCTTCCAGCCACACTCAAAAGTTTTTCCATCTCTGCGATCACTGAGCCTCTTTTCTTACTAATGATCGTGGAATGCATTGGCACAGAACCTTTCACTTGTTATATAATGCGCTCTTTGTCCTTCAAAATTGTCCCAACAGTCAAACGATTCATCCCAAGAGCATTTGTTATGCTTATCATTTTCTCACCTCTTTCACAACGCTTTAAAATGTCCACCTTACTTTTCAACGTAATAATGCGACGCTTTTTACTACCACCATCACCAATGGCATCACTCTTACGCTTGTGAGACATGTTGAGGTCAATAACATTCGTCAAAACCACAAATAATACCGTGAGGCAGCAGAGGAAAACAACAACAATGCCGCTAGGGATACAGGGTGATGCTGAACAGCCAATGCCATCTATTGCACGGCGGTTGAACTTACGACCCGGCGCTGTTTTCAAACAGGCAATTGGACATATGGACAGATTTGTACATATCTCTGAAAGTTCGTAACTTGGAAAATTTTCTCAGAATTGTCCGAAAAATGTGCCCCTTGGAAAATCGTTCCCAAATCCGGAATTTCCGGCTTTGGGAACGATTTTCCGAGAAAATTTGAATTCCGACTATCGGAGAGTTCCGGGTTTGAAGGATTTTGGCTTGCAGAGATATTACTGTATTCAGAACCCCTGGTAAAATTTGGTTCCTTTGGTACTGCTGAATGTTAATGGTAATAACTACCTGTCCTATTAAGAATTAATAAATTAATTTGAGATAATTATGTAAAAGTAAACATAATGATAAAATACCAAAAAATGCCTTTGGCCAAAATGTATATATGGTGTTATAATACAAATTTGTGTATGTTATGGTATGCAGAACCCTATTTGGCCGACCTTTCACTTGCCTCCGCATAACATTTATGGAATAAGAACATTTCCTACATTTCTCCTTACCACATGATGGAGCACAGGTCTAGTTAAACAAAACCATAGAAAACGAATTTTCACTAAAATGTCTAGGTCGCCCTTCTTAGAGAAAAAGCCTTGTATGTTCACCATCACAGTTCTTTGCCATTTTTAAAACCCTATTCAATACAATACTGTATTCTAGCCTCTAAACTCATTTTTGTGCCATGTGTCATCTCTCATTTTGGCAGATGTGTGAGTTCCTGCCAGTTTCCTGACAAGATAATTCTTATACTATAGTTGTATTATGAAACCTGTTTCATATATACAGTAATCTTCCCATTAGATGGATACTTTCATCTGCTAAACTCTCCAAGTGCCCCCCACCCCCAGAGATGTTTCGGGAAAGTCTCTCCATTCCAAGCCTGGAAATGAGTTTCTGAGGACAGAATCATGCACAATTTAGGCAAATTACTAGAAATCCTCTCCATTCAGAGCATGGATATGGAGATGCGTGGGTGGGAAGGCTCAGTGTACATGAGCTATGATTGGCCACTACTGGCCAGTACTGTGTTGCACAGTACTGTACATTACTGTCCCAGCATATTTTCAGCCAAGAATACCATTAAAGCATAGTCAAGACATAAAAACTGATTACAGCTATGAATACTGTACATTCAGTGAGTGTGAAAGTGCCATATGTACAGGATACAGCAGAATGGACAGTGTATGCTAGCGTGTAGAGGGTGTATGTAAAGTATACAGTACGTGTACAATTTATCCTTCATGGAGGGAGAGGACAGTTACCAACACCTGTTACAGGATATAATACAGGACAAAGGCAGGCCATCCTGTATCCTCATGTCACCATTTGGCCTGCCTGCATCACAAGCTCAAAATGACAGCATCTGCTGGTGAGCACAGTATACAGTATACTGTACAGCACAGGAGTATAAATTATTTTGTTTACTGTATTTGCAATATATTTTATGTGTACAGTGATGTTTGTGTAAATATATGTCTGTTTCTGTCCGTGCGAAATGTGTAATTTAGACTCTCGGAAAATTTTCCCCAGTACCTAGAAATATTCCAGGGATGAGAAAATTTGTATCCATACCCAGTAATATCTCAATTTCGGAACTGCTCTACACCAATTATTCCCACTAACGGCAATATTAATGTATATGCAATTCATTATATTTCAGCTGCAGTCCTCCTGTAAATCAATCCTTTCTGTGTGGCAAGCTGATATGGATTGTTTAGTCATGAATATGCATTACAGTACTGTATTGTTCTTACTTTCAAGACTAGACCTTGTAGAAAATACAATTTTACATTTTATAAAATAATATATAATTCATAGAGCTGACACGTATAATTGTTAAAATATTTAGGTATCTGCATAGTTCATCCTGGCCACACATTATGTTCATGGAGTTAATTCTAACCTAACACAAAATTTGATCTCTATTATATCCTCCCCCACAATTGTTAAAAAAAATATACACAATTATAGGATATTGAAGGGTAGTCTGTCTTGGACATACTGTACCAGTGTATAATGTGTAAAATTTCTCCACTCACCTTACATAATATTCAATCACAAAT